TACTACTAGGGTCGGTGTTTGCATTAAGAATTATAGAACAAAAGATCAGCAAAGCGGTGCTTTTGTCGGCGATTTGTCAAAGGGAATATTGATAAAATGTTGCAAAACAGAATCGCGAGTTGGGTGAAAAATTGCGCCGGCGGCATTCTCAGCGATGGCGACACCCGAGAAACACCGTGTCACGGTGCATTCGTGCATCAGTACACCGAAGAAATACATACATATTGTTGCGGACGACTATTGTAGACTGTGTTCGTGTAGTCTTCGAGTTTGTGGACAGTTAAAGTCGTGTGTGAATTTATTCAAGCCAGGAAAAGCAGGAGGGATAACTTATGGAAATCGTCTTTCCAATTTGATCCAGTGCGACGTTGTGAAAGGAGCGACTCTGTCGTCTCATCTATGTCTAGTTTGTAAGAGAAAGATTGATAGCGCAGAAAAATCCGCCAATAATGTAAAACAGTGGCGTGAAATTGTCAGTCATTCTAATATCTCCCAACCTGTGAACGAAAGGGTTAAGCGTGCTGCCTTGAAATCGCCTGCCAAAACTAAAATGGCGCGTGTCACGTGACTTTGTTTACTAAAGATAGCGTGGGCGTTTGATTGACACTCAACTCATTAGTATTCCACCAATCACAGCTACATCTACTTTCTGGATGTGCGCAGTCAAATTGTATAGGAGACAAGCTGGAGTCTCGTGTGGCGATAGCGATAACACCGGGACGAATGGTCTGGGGTATGGTTATAAGAACACGGTTAGGGCAAAGAACATGTAGAAATAAACAGGAAATAAAATTGGTAAATAACAATAGAAAAAAATCTACTAATGCATTTGTAACATGTGCATATTTTAACATATTGCACAGTGTCAATATATAATGGTTCTGTATAAATTACAGACGGACATTAGTTCATTGTGTGTGTTTTTAAATTGTCAAATACTGTAAAATACTTTATTTTCGCTTGGAATTTATTTTCGCTATTTTCGCTGAAAGAAATGATTCTGTGAAAATAAAATCCAGCGAATATACATTTTTTCCTATATTTTACATTAATCTCATCAAAAATCAGTGAAAATAAATTCCATACAAAACACCTAAAAAGCATTTTCAGCGAAAATTAATTCCAGCGAAAATATAGTATTCCACAGTAATATGCAAACCTTACAATTAAACATTTTCAACATTATACCCTGACAATCAGTAATTGGCCGTAGAGATCAACAACCAACAATAATATCAATGAGTGACATCAATATCAACATTACATATCAACAAGCGACATCAACATTATCAAGTGCATCAACATTGACAATAGAAATCAACAAATGAAAACAAAAAGTTAAGTTTGACATCAACAAAGTGAAGTTTGACATCAACGATTGAGATTAAACATCAACAATTGGGATTGGACACCAACAATTTGGATTAGATATCAATAATTTGGACTAGACATAAACAATTGGGATTAAAAATCAACAATTTGGGTTAGATATCAACAATTTGGATTAGACATAAACAATTGGGATTAGAAATCAATGAGTGGGATTAGACATCAACAATTTGGATTAGATATCAACAATTTGGACTTGACATAAACAATTGGGATTAAAAATCAACAATTTGGATTAGATATCAACAATTTGGATTAGATATCAACAATTTGGATTAGACATAAACAATTGGGATTAGAAATCAATGAGTGGGATTAGACATCAACAATTTGGATTAGATATCAACAATTTGGATTAGACATAAACAATTGGGATTAGAAATCAACGAGTGGGATTAGACATAAACAAGTGGGATTAGAAATCAACAAGTGGGATTAGACATCAACAGTTTGGATTAGATATCAACAATTTGGATTAGACATCAACAATTTGGGGATTAGAATCAACAATTTGGATTAGATATCAACAATTTGGATTAGATATCAACAATTTGGATTAGATATCAACAATTTGGATTAGATATCAACAATTTGGATTAGATATCAACAATTCGGATTTTATGCAATAAAACGGACCTTAATAGCTGAACCCAATGTAAACTGGAAACCTGTCAAAACTTTCATTACATCTTTGGCATATCCTGTTTCTTACTCGTGTTTTGGTTGTGTGTGTCTACCTTTTTTTCTATTTCAAGAATGTGGTTGCTAATTCCAAATTTTGTACACCATTTTCTTTCATCGCAGTCTAGCTTATTCATGTCTCTAACTGTTTAAATTTTGCGTAAGTTCTCATCTGTATAATGTCCACAGCCTTTTCAATTTTCCAAGTATTGGTCTTCAATAGCATAATAAAGGCTTTATTGACACGAGCGTTTCCTTAGGCAAGCCAACCACGCATAGATAATTCTCTGTTCACAATATTGAAGCATGGAATTGTATAACTAAAAAAAAAATGGTGGGGTATTATTTAATTAAAATTTGTTGTCCACATGTCCTACTTCTGTTCACCATGAAAGGCAAACAAATTTGATTATAGTAATGTAAATGTTTGCTATATTTATTTTTATTAATCGGTATGACCAGAGAAATCTTTAGAATTAACACATTGAGCGCCATAATTTTTCCCTCCATGTATCATTTGGGAAATTTCAGTGTATTTTTGGAAACTTCTTTCATGAATTTTGGACTAATTGGATATAAACTCCCATTTGCTACCTGTCTAGATCAGAATTTAAAAAAAAATATCAACACAATTATGCACTTGTTATTTGTGAATGGTGCCAAAAGTTGACTTTGTTGTTCAGAGTTAATGATATGC